CGAAACTTTCAACGAAAGGAACAATTCACACCAATGTCCCGAGCGCCATCGAAACATTATGGGAAAGAGTAGGGATACCTTTGGTGGAAATAAGAGCCGGGAATATGGGCGAGAAACTCGTCAAATTTCAAGAGAAGTGGAGGAAGCTGCCCTAGTAGACAGTGCATTCAATGACTGATTCCTTACTTAGGCCTTGTTAGTATTTCAGCGAACCCAGAAGATCATTAACAAAGTATTGGACCTGCCCAGTGTTATTCATCATGCGTAAGATTGTTTTGTTGAATTGTAAGCTTGCTAGAGTAATTTGAAACCTACTTGGAATTTGCTCATACGCGAGAATTTCTAGTGAAATGATTTTTTCCATTCTTAATTCTTTCTCAATCCGAAACAAATATGCCGTTTAAGTGAAGTAGGACTATCTCTAAAACATATTAAAATTTGAATTGATTTGATTCAGCGGAAAAAAAGTTACAGTCGAAAAACAATTTCGGCGAAGACTTTTGACCGCTACTGTATGTCAATAACATTTACTTCTTCTACTGCATCCAGTTCTTTCGATCTTTGCGTCTCTATTCTCCAAATTCAAACGCTTTGATCCGATGCTTTCAATGTCGACGCCGTGGTACGAACAATGCACACTTCTTTTCATTTGTTCGCTTGTCTGCCTCTTACGTGAAGAAAACCTGAAAATGTTGGACACAGGAAAAGCTGTGAGTATTATAGTAAGTATAATTATAGTAAAGTTCGTATCGCATTATAGGAATAGAAGGAGCGGATTCGTTCATGATGACGTGACTCAGAACTCCATTTCCATGTTGAGTGATTCGAAAGGAAATTACGTGAGGTCTTCGAAATCGAGCCGCTCGCCGTTATCAAGTAGTTTCTACAGAAGATGAAGCTCTTCTCAGAATGTACAATGTATGTTTAAGGTGAGGTCTAAGAAACTGTTGCTATTGATAACGGAATCAGTTCCATGAATGAAACACATTACATTTTGCAGTCACAGGTTTAAGACGTTTCGTTATAGCATGGTACTTGGTTTCAGTTTACTAATATCGATTACCAATCAACGAGAGAATTGCTCCGAATCTCATTGACAAATGACAGATTTCAACTCCAGTCTTCTAAAGATATTAAGAAGCATTCACTTTTCTCTCACGTAACTCTTCAAACTCAATAAATGATTAGTGCCAAGTTTGTGAATGCTATGTGCTAACTTCAGGTGCATTTTTTACTACTTATCCAATTTTATTGGTCACTGTGATAAAAGTAGAACAGAACCAAAAAAGCCGTCCCAAAAACTGATGGAAATTGTCAGACTTTGAGCTTGTTCAGTTCATAAAAGCAAGTACTGCAAGAGTGTACCTCTGGAGATGGTCCTGCAAGGGTGGTTGCCCAAAACTCTAGGACACTCTGGAAACACTTCTGTGAAGGTCTCGAAACTTCTTCCAATTGTTTTAGCGTTTGATTTCTGTGGTACCTCTTCAGAGGTTTCAGAAGGAGGTTGTGTTGAAGCTTCGAGCAACATTTGCGCAGAACTTCACAACAAATCAGCCAATCTTTCGAGGCATCAATATGAGATTCCATAATGGAAGTTCACTTTATTGCATTCAAAGCCATCATTAAAGCCTAATCCAGGGGGAATTCATTCCGTAGTGTCCTGATGATATTGGAAACGCAACTGAAAATATATTATTCGAAGAAAAGGATTTATCCACAGCGAAAGTCGTGTCGAAGAATCTATTCAGCGGGTGGGATAGAGATCCCTACAAGTGACAGATATGCCGTTGCCGCGGCTCAAAAATGCGCAACAGAGGCGGTAGGGCCATACAAGTCAGGCTTGGCGGCTAACTTTAGCATTCCGACGAGTTGCGCGCACACCCCTCGGCACGCAACGTGGATACGGCGTAGCCCGAATTCAATACTGCCGGGTCAGTAATGCTGTAAACAGGCAAGCACTTGCGACGTAAGCAAACCAGCCCTTTTGGCACATCGGCTGGGACCGTATGCTGAATGTTGGGGAGGGGATGGTGTCCCCGACGGTGGACGGACAACTTCAACGCGGTCCTTAGAACCGCCACAATTTGGCGCTTACCTTAGAACTAAGCCTTAAAGAGAGGACGGGTCCGTCCCCTCTCCTAGGCTTAGTCCAAGGGTGAGCAAACCAGTCCTTCTGGCGAGCTGCTGGACCAGCTGCACCACTTGCGTCAGTACTCTCCTATCGTACCAACCGAGTTGAAGTAAACCGTCGACCGTTGGGGACCCCATCCCCTCCCCAACATTCAGCATACGGTCCCAGCCGAAACGCCAAAAGGGCTGGTTTGCTTACGTCCGTTTGTATAACTTCGTCTGGCTCCGCCCTTTCTTATTTCAGGGTGAAGAGAACTTTTGTTCTAAGTCTCATCTACGGTTTCTTTCCTTCTTCATTCATTTTTAGTCAAATTCGGCATCCACAATTCATTCGTAACCGGTGTGACTCCGCAAAGTCAATCTGAGGGTGTTGTTTTAGCGCCTGCACGATCTCAGACGAGGATCGACATGCTCGCGGTGAGCACAACGTGAACTGTCCCATTCTAACAAAACGAAAGCAATGGTCGCAACTTTTTTTTGTACACATCAGAGGGAGAGAGGGAGGTTTTTTGCAGGAGATGCACTCGTGACGATAACTGGGGCTCACTTGAACAGTAAATGAATTCACCAAGGAGAAAGCTCGTTGGCAAGCTCGAAAGCAAGTCTTCGTAAGAGGGTTTTCTAGGTGTTTTTGGTATGACTATAAATTACTGCTTGGCAACAAGCTACCAGATACCTGTAGCGCGTAGTAGTCGCTAACTATGCTAACCATCCTTGGCAACTATCCGAGGCTATGCGTGACATTTAGTCAGAAATAATCAACCCCCTTCTCGACGACAATAGGTATGTGTGGCAAAGAAGAAGTTTCAGAAGTTTTACACTATGATTGAGAAATACCGTCGCGAGTTGTCTACTCCGTCGCACTGCGTGCTACGATTTCGTGAAAACACACAACACCCGCCTAGGGTGAAAATCGTGTCGAGGAAAACCCAACTCTGG